TACTCTCTCTCTCCTCCTCTCTACACACTCTCTCTCTCTCTCTCTCTCTCTCTCTCTCTCTCTCTCTCTCTCTTGTGTGCGAAGCTTCTTCATTTCTCTCTCTAGATCTCCTTATTCTCTTTCATCTTTTTTCCTTTGATGGCTGCTGTATATTTCAACTCCATATCAAAGCAAAGGACCTTGGGATGGTTTTTTGAACCCTAATGATGTGATCTAACCATACGAGGGTCACCATCAGCCCTACAGCCAGAAACACTAAATCTGAGAAAACAACTATAGGATATGAAACCCAGATTTCATGGTTGGTTTCTATACCTTTTCGACTTCTAATGCTGGATTAGAAACCCCACATCTGGTTGGGATGGTTCAATGGTGTTAAGATCTGTTGTTGGGCCCCCTAAAGTGTGACACACCTTTGTCTGTGAATTGTGAAACCCATTTGTTATCAAGATCTCTTGTATGGATAGTCTCGGATCCCTAAATGAAGTGAATTCGAGTGGCTGGTTGTGTTGATCAGCATGTTTTCTTGGTGCGTTGAACTGTATTGTAGTCTATAAGTCTAATATCAGTGATTCAGGCTACTCTTCCATCATCGCTAGTACTCAAAGTGTAACCTCCCATATGGGCATCCAAGAATATAAACCTGGATTGCAAATTATGACTGTCAAACTCGATGAGACAAATTATTTAGAGTGGTCGCAATATGCTAAAATATTTCTTAGTGGAAACGGGAACTTGGGGTATATCAATGGTAAAATTACTGAACCCAAAGAAACAGATCCTTCATATGAGAAGTGGGAAACTGAAAAGCTGGCTGTGATGTCTTTGTTATTACACTCCATGCAACCATCAATTAGTAGGGGCATCATGTTCCCTCAAACGGCAAGAAAAATTTGGGACTTGGTACACCAAACTTACTCTCAAAACAAATATGTGACTCAAGTATACCAATTAAGGCAGAAAACTTCCCACCTTCGATAGGGGGGGAGGTCTTTTGCGGCATATATCTGCCTACTTCATAGCATGTGGGAGTTAGACCACTATTTGAATGTTTAAACCAGCCTGTAAGGAAGATGGGGAGAAATACAAGTACTTTATGGACAAAATTGTATTTTTGAGTTCTTGGCAAGATTTAACCCAAAGTAAGGAGAGTAGAAAAAGTGTCAAGCTGTCTACTCAAGTAGTTGATCGTTCTGCTATTGCCTAAGCCTCATTACAATAAGGGGGGTAACCTCGGAGATTTGGAAAAGGGGGTCCCAATCCATGAAATAAAATTGAAATGTGATCACTGTGGTAGAAATAGTCATATTAAAGAAACTTGATGGGATCTAATTGGTCAGCCAGCTAAATTCAACCTTTCCAGATCAGTGTAATCATGCTCACGATGCTTCATCCCCTAGGGGTTCAGCTACTATTAGTATTGATTAGCCATTATTCAATGCAATCCAACCTCCAATTTCCGCTCCAAAGGAGATGCTACTAGCTCCTACAGAGGATCCACTACCTCTCCTTCATCCTTTGCACAACTAGGGTATTCATACTTCTGCTCATCAGGTCCTCACTCTACCTAGACAGTCTTGGATTATTGATTCACAAGCCTCAGATCACAACCGGTATGTCTTCCTTGTTTTTCCCTTTGTTCTGGTAGAAATAATGTTAGGATTATTGATGGATCGTTTTCCTCTATCACTAGAAAGGAACTCTAAACATTTCTCCTCAAATGTCATTGTCATCAGCTCTTCATGTCTCGACTTTGCAGCAAACCAAATGTCCATCAGTAGTATTACCAAGAGTCCAAATTGTAGTATAATCTTCTTTCCTTCCCATTGTGTGTTTCAGGACCTGGATACGACAAAAACAATTGGCAGTGGTCATGAAGCTAGTGGTCTCTACATTCTAGACTTGGCAACAACTACTCTTCAAGCCCGTCAGTCCAACAGCAATGTTAGGAAAGATCAGAATTGGCAGTGGCATTTCTGACTTGTCATTGCCTTTTCAGTAATTGAAAATTTAGTTTTGTAATTGTTTATTTCGACTGATGTGTTAAGAGTTTTGACTTGAGGTCAGTAAACAGTCAAGACATTGTAGACACTCTTTTTTATCCAATAACAATAAATGCATTATTCCTTTTGTTATTGCCTATTCTGATATTTAAGGTCCCTCTCCTGTTAGATCTACAAATATCCAAATATCTGCAAGGTCTTTTAAGATGATCTCACTCAATTGGATACTAAAATTAACGTACTTCGATCTAGTCAAGGTTGCGAGTATTAAAATGGGAGTTTATCCTATTTGGAAGAACACAGCAGGGAATGTCAAAATGCTTGCTCATATACACCACATCAAAATTGTCATAAATAAAAGAAAGAATAGACACCTCTTAAGAGGTTGGCCACACTCTTCTCTCGAATATGAATGTACCCAAGAAATTCTAGTCTGAAGTTGTGCTTACTAAATGGTATCTTTTCAATCGGATGCCATCTCACGTTCCAGACTATAACTCTCCATATAAACTTCTTCATCCTGATCATCTGATGTTCCCCTTATATTCTTTGTTGTATTTGCTTCGCTCATGTTGTTGGTCCCTACCATACAAAGTCCAATCCCAAATCTATAAAATGCATTTTTCTTAGTGATCTGTCGACATAAAAGCGTTTTAAATGATATGATCTAGTGTCAAGAAGAAATTTTGTCTCAATGGATGTAACATTTTGTGAGTCCACTATTTTTCTTACCTCTTCAGGGGAGCATAGTGTTGAAGAGAGGTCTTATGCTCCTCTACCTATGCCTACTATTTCTGATTATGAAGCTCAGGAGGACATTGGGGGCATTCCCATGATGTTGAAAAGAAAGTATTAAAAGTCTATACTTGATGGATACAAAAGAAGTGGAGACCACCAAAGCTGACAGACCTCCAAGCCAATTGCATAGCTCTAATCCAGGTAGTCCCACCAAATCACAGTATGATGATTCTGATCTGCCCAATGCCATAAGAAAAGCTAGACAAAGTTGCACTATACACCCAATTAGTAACATTGTTTCTTATGAGTCCTTATCTCCTTCCTATTGTGTTTTCGTATCTTCTGTGTTTTCTGCTTCTATTCCTTCCAATGTTTTTTTTAATTTTTTCTTTAGGGGTGCGCCGGGCCCCAGTAATAATGCAACACATGGGTAACACTCGAGGTATCCACTAGCAAGCTAGAGTGGTGGTCCCTACCCCATTGAAAATTTAATTTAATATCATGTGGTCCAATGGATCATGTATCAGCTATTAAACTGATAAGAACAAATACTACACTTGATCTTAGCCAAAAGACCGAAAAAGGTATTCCTTCCAATGTTACAGAAGGTTTAGCTCATCCCAAGTGAAAAACGAGGTTATGTACGAGGAGATGAAAGCGTTAACCAATAATGATGCTTGGGAGCTAATAGACCCTCCAAAACAGAAGAAGCTTGTTGGTTGCAAATGGATTTACGCTATAAAGCACAATGCCAATGGTACAGTTGACAGATATAAGGCATGATTAGTTGCTAAGAGGCTCACATAGAATTATGGAATAGACTATTGGGAGACATTCGCTCATGTGATTAAGCTGAACTCCATTCGAGTCCTTTTGTCTCTAGCAACTAACTTGGGGTAGCCCTTGCACCAACTAGATGTCATGAATATGTTCTTTCATGGGGAACTGCAAGGACAAGTGCAAATGGTACCTCCCCCTGGATTTAGGGCTCCTAGATAAAAGGGAAAAGTTAGTTAAATGAAAAAGGCCATTTGTAGACAAAAGAGCTTGGTTTGAGATGTTTAGTAGTGCGTCTAAGGAATTGCATATACTCATAGTCATATTGACGAACCCTATTTATGAAACATACCAAGGCCAATACCGCTGCCATGATTGTCTATGTGGATGATAGTATTGTAACAGGTAATTATCCTAATGAAATTCAACAACTCAATAACTTTCTGGCAAAGGATCGTGAAATTAAAAATTTAGGTCCATTGAAGTATTTTCTTGGGATAGAAGGGGCCCAAGTCTAAGAGATAAACTTTTATCTACCAAAGGAAGTATGTGTTGGACCTCCGTCAGAAAATAGGAAAGCTTGAGTCCAAACCAGCTGATACTCTTACGGAACAAAATAACAAACTTGAAGACCAAAGCAGTGAAGCTCTCAAAGGTCTGGTTATGTTTCAAAGGTCTAGACATCGCAAACGTTGTGAGTGTGATTAGACAGTTCATACATGCTCCATGAACTACTTATCTTGAAGCTTCTCATTGAGTTCTTAGATATTTAAAATCATCACCAAGTAGAGGATTGATGTTCGTTAATCATGGGCACTATCAAGTTGAGACTTATATAGACACAGATTGGTCTGGTCCTATTGTGGACTAAAAATCAAGTTCAGACGTATATAGATGCAGATTGGGCTCGTCCTATGGTGGACTGAAAATCTACATCTAGCTACCGTATACTAGTTAAGGGTAACCTTATGACTTGGACGATTAAAGTCAATTGTAGCCAAGTCAAGTGTAGAAGCAGAATACCGATCCATGGCCTATGGTGCGTATGAACTCTAGTTAAAAATTCTATTACGCGAGCTTGATTTTCCTATGAAGGGGTCATTGTCCTTGATTTTCCTATGAAGGGGTCCTTGTATGGTGATAACAAGGCAGCTTTTATTATCATGCACAATCTAGTCTAGCATGATCGAACCGCGCACATAGAGGTAGACCAACATTTCATTCAAAGAGTTGCAACCAGAAAAATTTGCAGATATTCTTACCAAGGTTATATGGAAGACACGACTACAAGTGATCTTAAGCGGTTAAACCTTGTTTATATCCATCCACCAACTCATAGTTACCTAGCGTGGAGTGGAAAAACTATGGGATTGGGAGCGAAAGCAGAGAGCGAGGAAGCCACGAAGTTTCGTGGTCGAGGGAGTGAGTTTTGTACATGGGAAAATGTAAGGATCGAGATCCATGGCTTTTAGGGATCGAGGTCCATATCTGCAAAGGAGCGCATCCCTTATGGGATTGCATCACGTTCCTCTGTGTTAGGGTTGAGGTTCGTGAACTTCAATCATCCATTGTGCTGTAATTTGGGAGCAAGTTCCATTTGATAGTATTTTTAACTTTTTCCAAATTCACAAAGGAATCATTTTAGCTTGAAATAATAAATATTAATTTAGAAATTGGAAAACCTTTATTTTTTGAAATTGGGAAACCTTTATTAATATCCTTTGTTTTATGCGAGGAATAGATAATGTCTCACATTTTGTATTTGACGCCAATGCCCCTTTTTTGTGAACATATTTGTTCTTTCTAAAATGCTCCTGGATCGGTGCTTGGAGTTCTGACTCGGAATTTTTTTACCAAAAAAAGTAAAAAAATAGGTGGGGACATTGAACTCCGATTTGATCTTAAAAACATGTAATCTAAGAATACTGCAATAGATTGTTCCCAAAAAATCAATGCAGACCATAACTAAGTTCTCCTTTGCAAAGCAAGAAAAATGGTAAGACATTGCCAAATAAATTTCCCAATAGCCCTCCTCCATCAAAGATTCCTAGGGGCTCAATGACCTGCATAAGAGACAGACCTCACATTTTCAAGCATACAAGTAATTTTATCACCCGCAAGGCAAGTGTGAAGCAATTTAGTTAAACAACAATCAAGCCCTTTGGGAGGTCCACAAGACCCAATGAACTAGCCCCAAGGGAGTTTAGCTTATATTTCGTGACCTCATTCCAAAATAGAACCACAACACGACTATTTTTTGTATCTCATTACAACTTCTTGCTTCTCTCTCCTTACCCTCTCTTGTTGCTTTTCTTTGAAACTAGACACGAGTCATAATTCACAAGGTGTGTAAAGTTGTGAACTGTAAAATATATAGAAAATCATGGCAATTTAAAACATTTGTAGGTCATAAAAAAAAATGGAGATCCACGTCCATTGTTTATGAACAAAAACAATGTGCCATTGGATTCGCTCCCAGAGCATAGGATACTCGATTCCATGTTGGAGGAATCGTGGTTCCACTTACTCATGAAACAATAATTTTTGGTATAGGGATCTAGGTCCCATTGACATAGGATCGAGATCTCTGATTTTGTTAGATAGAAATTCTTAATATCAAGGAATCATCCAGAATCAAGATCCCGTGCTTCGGAGTGCTAGAACGAGATTCAGGAGCAGAAACGACCCCTCTTGAGAAGATCCCCGTAACTATGCACCGAATTGAGGAAGAGTGTTGTCAATATTAAAGTTTATAATTCATACTACTGTATTTAAGTCCCTAAGTACTTATTTGTCATTTCCCTCACTTAAGGGTATTTTTGTAAATTAGCAATATGAAGGAGAGGGGTCAAGGGATAAGTTAGACCCAACGTGACTCTCTCTCTTTCTCCCTCTCTCAACGTAACTATCTCTCTCTAAGCTTCTTCATTTCTCTCTCTAGATCTCGTGCATCCTTATTCTCTTTCTTCTTTTTCCTTTCATTGCTTCTTTATTATTTAACTAAAAACAGGGTTGCATTTGCTAAAATTTTGTGTTCTCAAGTTCAATAAATATATCATATCTAATTTTCTACAAAGAACTGCTGGTGGAAGTCAAGCATCAGTACCCAAATCAATCATGATACTGATTGCCACACATAAAACAACCATAAGACTAGCATAAAAAAATTAACGAAAATATAACAAAAGACGAAGGTTCCAGGGAAGGAACTTAAGAACTAAAACCAAGCAAACCAAGTTAAAAAAAAAAGCTGGAGAACACAAAATTCATGAAAATAGTATGTGAATATAAGATTTCAATGGAGGAAACAAAGAAAACCTTCAAAAAATAGATTATTCACTTCAAACAAAAGAGCAATATGAACAATTCAAATCTTCTGGCATGTTCTTTGTAGACCTATACATGGAAAGGACAGCCCATATTGCCTAGCATATCCAAAAGTAGGAAGGACATTGCAGTTTTAGTCAGAAAAGCAAATCTTCATAAACTGGCCGAAAAAGAACAGGATCGGAAATGAAGAGCAGTCCCACATACACAATAATAGGAAATCACAAAATACAGAAGCCTTTGTTATTTGGCTAAGTAAATACAGAAACATTTCATCCATCAAACACCATATAAAGGTTGTTTCAAGTTCAAAACTTCACATACCTGCAAAAGCTTCCTTTGCTTGTGGATGCTTGCACTTATCTGGATGAACCAGCAATGATATCTGCAGAAAGAGGGATGTACAAAATAAACAATGCATCCTTTACATACATAAAATTAGCTCAACTTCAAGTAAATACATACTTGAACTTCAGGAATTACCTTTCTGTACTGTTTCTTCACATCATCTGGGGCTGAATCAAAGGGAAGGTTCAGATGCTCAAAAGGATTTAACTTGAAGCATGAAAGAATCCTGCAGCATTAGGTGCACGAAAACCAAAATGAATAACACATCTAAGAAAGATGACGCAATGAAAACATCAAAGTCACATCAGCTCAATAGGACATGAATCTTAAACATGATATGAGACAGAGTGAATGCATCTCCTGTCCAGATCAGTACGAAAGGGTGCTGCATCAGTGAGATAACGGGATAGAATATTATAATGTGATTTAATTTACTATGTAAAAACAGCATCCACTGGGTCATCACCAATCATTGAAATAATGGATGGTGAGGTAGAGAGGCATGTCAGGTTCTGGTAGCTCCAAATATCTCCCCTTCACCATCCATCATTTTAGTGGGCAGAGATGTCCGAATAGAATATGGTATTTCCTTCACTTTCGCATCATTAATCCCTAACAAAATTAATGCAAGACGGTACAATGCACCAAACCCAATAAAAGTGTTTAATGTGAAAGACTCGGTGATTTTTAGCCTACAGATCTAGCTCATGCTATATCAAGCGTTAACATGGAGAGTGAATCTTTAGAATACAGTAAGTGTTCTACTTGATATGATGAAACAAATGAATGGGAGCCCAGAGAAAATTAAGAGCACTGCTTCTACTACAACCCTTCAAGATGCCTATGTCCATGCTCCTGAAGGCACCCCTCCAAGTAATATCCTTCCTTCCATTTGCCATCTGAGCTCATTCCAACACCCTACGATCTTGGATCATCGGGAATATAACCAGATGACATGGAGCTGAGGTAATTTCACCCATTTAGAACCAGTTTGAAGTAATAAGATGACCTTTTTAAGGATGAGTTTAGACCCTAGCCATGGGATCCAGCAATGAGACATGCTGCAAGCTGCATCCATGTTAATTTCATTGTACCATTCATGCTCTCAGCTCGACAAGATAATTATTCACGTTTTCTCTGCTTGTAGTTCGACAAGATAATTATTCACGTTCTGAGCTTTCCATTTAACTACTCTCTACTAGTAGTTTGAAAAAAACCCACAAATGTTACGTCCCTTTCTTCCCTTGTCATTGTTTCTCACTGTCTCTCATACTGAAAAACTAGAAAGAAGACTTGTGAGGTTCTCGAGAATAAGGGTAGGGGTGATAATGGGGCAGGAGGCATGGCCTGGCTGCCTAGGCACGGGCCAGTATATGTTGCCCATAGGCTGGGCCGATCAGGCAGATCATGGCCAAGCTGGGCACTTCTTGCCTGGACCAGCCATATCTAAAGGGCCCACGCCAACCAGGGCTGTCTTGCAGGGCCTGGCCCTGGCCAGGGTCGGCCAAGCCCATTGCACCCTAAATAAGGTGTTATATTTCTATAATTGAAACTGTTAATGCCTCAAAAGATACCATACCCATATTGGTGCTCAATGACTAGAGCACAAGTACCTTTATGCCCTAAAATTGAATTTTTCACATCAAAATCAACCTTGATTTCATTGTTTCTCTGGTCAGGTTGGTTTGAGTCCGTAGCTCATGGTGCTCGTTATTACAACTTTGAAGTCGTGAATTCAAACCCAACTCCCCCCCGATAACTGGGTCATGCACATCCTTTCACTCTCTGTGTTTCCTCGAAACGCACAAGTAACACTTATCATTTGGTAGTATTTTCATTATGATCCTTGTAGCTACAGGAGTTTCTTGAATTTTACCATATAGAACCGAAAATATAATCAGTCTTAGGAATACTAAGGAGAGATACCGCTTTCAAGATGAATTTGACACCAATAATTTGAAATATGGACACAGAAAAAGTCACCATTCTCACTATGCTATATTTCCCCTATTGGGAAATTTCTCTCTTCTAGAGGCAAGTTGGCTTTATCCAATTCCAAACTATTTATTTGATAGCATCCATTCCAATAATTTCATCAAAAGAATAAGAGACAATCTCAGAAGCCATATTCTCCCATAATTAATTTCACAGAAGTGAAAAACCCCATAAACTCCAAGGTCTACCTAAGAACTCTGTGCTCCAAAAGATTAAGGATTGCATCTAAGAGCACAGTCACATAAATTCAAGTAGTTAATTTTTTGTCTGAGTCAAATACCTAATATGAAAAAGCTCAGTGATATCCAGTCCCCCATTCAGCACCAAAGTAATTCAAAAAATCAATGGGTTTCACAATGAAAACATCAAATTTACTTATCCAAAAAGAAAAAGAAAGCCTCGCCAACAAATAAATTAAGGTAAAGAAGAAAACAAGGAGAAGCAAACGACTAAACACCACAAACAATGAAACAAGACATGCATGTTATAGCTACCGCGAAACAAAACCACTATCATCATATTTATCAAAAATTCGTCATGAATAGGTTTCAATAGTGTTCAGAGAGAGCTGGTTTCGACCATAGTCAACAGAGTCTGAAAATGAAAGAAGAGAGAGAGAGAGAGAGAGGAACCTGGCCACTTCGTTGTCTCTCTCGACTTCGCTGACTTCAGCCAAGAAATCCTTGAGCAGAAGATCCTCAGCCTCGCCCATCGCCTGTCTCTCTCTTCTTCGACGAATTTAGAGAGAGAATTTAGAGAGAGAGAGAGAGAGAGTTGGGTAAGTTGGTTTACAGAGCTCTCTGCGCCTAGAGCATCTTGTACCTATTTGCGTGTGGCACGTGCGTGTGTGGAATATTTCCTGCAAATGGTTGAATATTAACTCATTTGAATTATATTAAGAAAAATCATAGGATTTTTATTAGAACATAGTTTTCTTATATTTATTTTAAATAAAATAATGTTTAGAGTGATGTAATGTATTATGTTTGTATTGATAATATGTTGTTATGCTCGCTTAACTTGTGTTAAGGGTTTAGGTGTTAGTGGCTTTAAAGATACCTAGAAAAAAGTAATGGTAGAAATTTTCAATGGTAAGAATATGTAAGAATGACATATGTGAATTATATTGAATCTAAAAAATGAAACTTAAATACTATAATTTTGTTTGATTGATATGTTGATAATATACTTATAGATAATTGACTAAGATTTAATTTAACACTTAATTAATAGGAATTTGTACTTGGTACATGATTTGAATCATTTTAAGAGAAATCAGAAGATCTATGGTTTTTTATATAAAAAAAAATTACTGCTTAGAGCAGTGTAACGTGCTATGTTTGTTGCTCAACTTGCATCACCAGTTTAGGTGCCAATTCTTAGTAGCTCTAAAAATACCTAGGGAATGGTTGAAAATTATCAATTGTAAGAATATGTAATAACAACTTATGTGCATTTTATAGAATCACAACAAATGAAAATGAAACTTAGAAACTAAAATTTTATAATTTTAGTGAGAAGTTGATATTTATAGTTATAAAGTTATAAATAGTTAATTAAAATTCAAAATTAACATTTAATTAATAGGAACACATGTCCCATAATTTAAATCCTTCTAAGAGAGCAAAAGATTTTTATATTAATCCTAATGAAACTACTATTTAGAGCATTACGATGTGTTATCTTTGGGGTGGTACTATGTTCTAGTGCCTTGTGAACTTGGGCCATGAATTGACGTGTCAACTCTTTAAAGTTTTAAAATTTTTAAGTTATTTAAAATTAGAAGATTTTTATTAAAATGTACTTTTTCTCTTCTGTTAAGTAAATTATTGCATGGGAACTGTAGACTTGTGTCCTGAGTTTAGGTGAACTCAAAAAGATTCAGGTTTTTTAAGTTATTTACGAATAACACATAATAATAATGACTCAAACTTAATCATGCACGTGATTTGAAGAGATTTGCTTTGCATCGAAATTCATATTTTGGTCCTAATATTTTTTGGCGAAGAGATTTGCTTTGCATTGAAATTCATATTTTGCTACTAATATTTTTTGGCGAATCAATTTGGTCTTGATTATACATTACACGATGGTCTCTCTCAATATTCAGTGTTATATTCGGTGGTCCTATTTTTTTCTTTTTGGTGAATCAATTTGGTCCTAATTTAAAAATCAAAGTATCTTGTTTTCCACAAAAAAAAAAAAAAATCAAAGTATCATGTAAATAAATGAAAATGTGGGTGATCGTAGGTGTACTTTTTATAAATTTAATTTTATTTATGACCTATGATATTGCACAATTATATTATTTAATTCATAATTTTAATTTTAAACTCTTATTAATTAATATTGAAACTATTGTTACGAGAAATTTACGATTTTTAAGATAAATATTTGTTATATTATTAATTATTAGTTGAGATTAGCTATATTTAAAAAATTAAAATATCCATTTTAAACAAAATATTATTTACTTCCTTTATTATTAAACATACTTATAATTTAAATTTGAGCTTATCTATGGATATTATTTAGATTTAAATTTTATCTCTGAACTATAATTTTTATGAGATTTAATAACTAAAATTTTAATAAAGTGAATTTTTTTTGAAGTAGTCGTATAACTATTGTACGTAATGCAATTTTTATTAAAATATTTTTTTAATATTAATCTTAAGTAAATTAATGCTTAGAGCAACCCAATATCTTATGGTTGTGGTGGTACTTGCATACACAATTACGCTGTAGAAAATAACAACCTAATATTGAATAGCAACCAATGTGGTTGATTTTTTGGTTAAGGGCGGTGTTTCTTTGTCTTTATTTGTTATTTCTAATGATGTAATTTTTTTTTTGTAGTTATCAATAAAAATAGAAACATTTATCAAAAAAAAAAAAAAATTTAAGTAGTGACTATCTAATTAGTTGGAAAAGGGCTTTTATGATGACATGACCATCTAATTGTTTTTAATGTGAGCAACTCACTAAAAGGTGATTGATTTCAATATTTCGGCTAGTCTTTCAACGTTTTGACATCTTAAAATGATATGTAGAGAATTATTATTCTCATTAACTTCCTCAAAATTTTCTCTTTTCATTAAAGCAACTAAAGTGTCATCGACTAAAATGTCTTTCCACACCTTCATCTTGTGATACAACAAATACATCTTTGGGTTGCCAAAAGGCCATATCCGTACATCATGAAAAAAATTCAGATAGCAAAAATATGTTACCACTTTTTATAAATATTCTTTTCAGAGTAAATTAATGGATTTTCTAGGCTTGGCATGTTATGGAAACTTCATTTTTATGCATGAAAATGCATGAACTAGCCTCCAAACTTTTAGAGTAACTCATGACTCCTACATCCATGAAGTAGACAACCCAAATTTTAGGATTGGCTAATAGTGGTTAGCTATTCTACACGATACGATTTCTATTGAAATGTGGTTTTTGGCATTAATCTTAAGTAACTATAGTTTAGAGTATTATGTTTGTAGTGGTACTATGCTAAGATGCTTGCTCAACTTATACCATGACCATAGGTATTAACTCTTAAAAGTGTTTGATTAAGTGGTTCGTAAAAGAAACTAATGAATCGATAAAATGGTGGAACTTCATCACCAACCATTCATTGTATAACTCTTAAAGTGTTTGATTAAGTGGTTCATAAAAGAAAATAATGAACCGAAAAAATGGTGGAACTCCATCACCAACTATTCGAATTGCTTATGAAGGACACAAAAAAACAACAAATTCAAGGTAGAGCTTCTCACAGCCGAGGGATAATGATATAATTACTTTTTTTAATTTCTTACTTTATTAATTTTTAAAATATTAAAATTCAGGTTTAGAGTTATTTGGATTCTTCTTTTGGGTATTTACAATTTTTTTCTATTATAAAAAAATGAGGGTAGAATTAAAAATTGAATTCTTTAAGGATGAAGGCCTAGGGTTTAATATCGATTACATTTTTTTAAGGAGAAAATTAGGTTTCATGTTATCTTCTATAAATATGTACTTGGACAAGAAAATAGGAGAAGAAGTGATTTTGGTTATTGTAAAAATAACTTTTAGGGTGGACTCTTTGAAAACCTTGAAAGAGAGTATATTCTCTTTTCATTTTATTTTAAGTTTTTAATTTATTTATTTTTATTTTCCCTTTTCTCCCTATATCTGTGAGAAAGATAAATTATATCGCAATATACAATCCCATTTTGGATGGAGTGATCTATTTTTACAACCGGTGCCTTTACAAATGCTCAATTGCATAAATCAATCACCGCAAGTGTACATTGCAAAGGCTCATCATGCTTATAATATAACACCTTATAGAAAACCTTTTGATTACGTCCCGACCCTTAGCCGCACTGTACGCCCCCTAGTTAGGGAATATTGTCCTAGAAATTTTCTCAGCATACAATACAATGGCAAAGTACGCAATAAGATTGTTTAAATTTTATACAAAAGACTCGCAACTGAAGTTCACAATCGGAAGATTAGGAGTACTAAAGAAATCACTGTTGTCAAACACTGAGCATTGATCAGCAAAACAAAATCATGCGAGCGGCCAATACCGCGTTCTAAAGCCCTTTCGTAAACAATACATAAAGAGAAGGAAAGCATTCAATTCTAGCACTTTGGGTTTCTTAAATTTTGCTAGCACCTCCCCATGCATTCGATTTCACACGCACCACCCCAGACGTCCAATGTCAAGAATGGATGGTCGTGGTGCATTGTTCCCCACTTAATTCATTCTGATTACAGAAGAACCGACACTGCATGGGGAACAACAAACTCCAACTGTTCCTCTAGGAGATACAAGACTATTGGAAAACGCAGTGCCTGCATTCCATATAAACCCGAATAGAACAATTATGGTTTAGACTTCTAAACGTATGCTCTAAAATCTTTTGTTCACCAGAGATGACTTACTTCCCATTTCATGCATAATTTATATTAAATATTAAACAAAAGATTACAACAATCCATGCTGTTATGCAACCAGTGACTTGCACATGTCTTTATGCAACAAGTGAATATGCTAATGCCTTCATTTCCTTCTTTCAAGATAAGTGCTGCAACCTTGCTACAAGTCTCTATTTTTCCTAACAATTCCAAAATGTTGGTAAGTACGCACAAATATATAGAAACAAAATCGTAGATTCATGATATATACAATTTTAAAAGTTACATGAATAATTTCTGATACAATCCGCTCAGTTTCTTCTCAATTGAAGCGGGTTCTAACTCTCAAACTAAGAGGAATATAAAAGTTTAACTGGGCTTGTAGAGAGAGCTTTATAATGAATAAAAGCTTATATGGGGTTTATCTTAATATAAAGGTCAATGAATTGGGAAACAAATACAACGAAAAGTTTCAAAACATAGTTACATTGAAATATAACATACATGCCAGAATCCGAAAAAAACATTCTTGGCCGGCCACAGCAAAAGCTTCCTTGGCTCCATGACTTCTTAAGACAAGAAGCTTGTGATTACTTTGTTTCTTCACAAAGGAAAAAGCCTAAGAAATTCAAGCATCAATATTCAGGCTCTGCAGAAAGCCAAAAGAGGAGATAAAAAACAAAGAAAAAAAGATAAAAGAAGAAAGAGCTAAAACATTGGGTCCAAAAAATTCATGACTAAAATGGCAATTTAAGCACCCTATACCTGCTTCAATCTCAGCAGCTATTCGTTTGTTGTTATTGATTCATACGTTCCTGAAAAATAAATAAGAATCCAAGTTAAGAGAGGAAGGAACGCAATACCACTACCAAATGTTGCGCTCCACATTTATTCAATAAGGCAGTAAAATATCAGCTGAAAACAAGAAGAAGACGACCACTACTCAAGGGAACAAAAATAGAAGGAAATTTCATATGGATGTAACAAAAAAAATCAGGAAGTATTAATCCAGCCGCCCAATTTTCCTGTGTGAGACTCCTAAAATCCTTGTCAACCCTTGTAGATTATGCAGAAGCAAGTAAAAGTTCCCCTGCTTGGAGAGGCACCTTGTAGGCTATCCAAAACATCGTCACACTTCAGAAGACTAATTTCTCAATATCAACCAGATACTAGAATAAAGCAAGGAAACCCAATGGAAAAAGAAGTGGAGGATTAGCAAGCAAAAAATCTCCTCGGACAGTCAACGACCATCAAAGGAAAAGAATCCACAAGACTTTTCAGGATACAAAGGCTCAAAGTTCTGGGTTTGCCATCTCATGATTGTTCCCATCCCCAAGTTATTCCTTCCAGATATATCTCCAATTGGGACCTCCTAAGGAGACAAGGCAGAACGATTTTTTAAAACAAGACAAGTAGTCAAACTAAAGGCCAGTGGAGACTTGGGGCCCATTTGGATGACCATCATATTATATCAAATGGCACAAAAGAAACACCACTTTTTAATGTTGGCTTGGAAGTTGGCAGACATTATTCCGATGCAATCTCGGTATATTGTGGACCAAGAGCAATAAAAGTTGCTCCAACATAAGCGCACCCCAATCTTTTGACAAGTCCACTCATTGCATGCCTCTCATCCCATATAACCACTAGGGGAAAGCACCAAAAGACTCTGTTTCAATTCAACTATTTCATTAACTAACATCTTGCCCAGCATTGCTAAAATATTAAATGCACCTCAGAGCCCAGTTCATAAATAGATTTTGTGAGTTCCGAGTAAATTAAACCTGGTTTTCCTCTTTAAGATAGTAACATCCACATCCCCAATAAATCATGGCATGAAGTTATGTAATCTACATTGCTACTACCCTAGCTAATTTTAATAGTAATTATATGGGTGGAGGGAACCATGATATCGGACTACAATGCCTACTGTTGCATGCCAAGCAGACTTCTGTGGATTCTTGAGGTTATTAACAAATAGAAGGTGCATACTTTTAAAGCATTGACCCAAGCTCAAACTAGTCCACACTCCAAATGGTGTGCAAGCATATATAGGGACCCAAACTAGATGATCATCTGGCTGGCATGGTAACTAGAATGGCATCCCCCAGGATAGAGCTCCACTCCTCACCTCTTAAGAACTTACACAGCCCAATTGTGCCCCATTCAGTCAAACCCTGGCAAAATGGTTGATATAATCTGAAGTCAAAACACAAAAAAGAACAACTTATTTCCATGGAAAAGTCTGTCCATGAAAAAGATCTTCCAAGTAGTCCAAGTTGCATGTGTATCTCCCAAGCAGTCCAAGTTATATGCGTAATTATCAACTCCATTAGTTTGACGAGCACCACATCACATTCCAATAGTAAAAAAAAGGACACTCAACATTTCAACACATCTATCGTCTTGCATTCCTGAGCCTCTTGTTCTTCACGCTTGACATGCCATGAAAACGGGGCTCTGATTCCATACTAGCTTTAAAATCTGATCTGATGATTTACAGAAAATGGAAGAAAAATAAATAAAAAGGAAAAAGAAACAGACCAAACTCTCCAAAGTGGAAGACCAGTATAAACCAACCTTTCCCTGCATTTGGCTCCTTGACACCTCTGCACATAAACCCTTCACCACCTTGTACACAATAATAACGAAAAAATATGACCATGCATAGGAAATTCCTCTATCCAAGTTTCAATACCTTGATCTTGTCAGTATCATTCTGCTTTGATTGCAACATCTCACAAAATGCCCCTGACATTGGTTCTGCATCCCCCACTTGGCATCTATATCTTTATTTTGCAGCCAAAAGTTATGAGGTCACTTTCAGACCCCAGGGTCCCTCAAACGCTATCCTTTAACAGAATCCTACCATTATGCCAATGATACCATAACATCTAATGTCATGTTAAGCAAATATGATCTTACAGGTATGAACCTTCAGCTGGATGGCAGAATATGCAAATTTTATGGTGTTCCGGAATTAGGGAAAGGCAAAACAGTTTAAAAAGATGAGAGGGATTCTATAGGACAAATTATGATAGATAAATAATAGTTTTAGGGAGATATCAAAAGGGTAAAGCAAATTCTTCAACACTCGGGACTGAACTTCCAACTCAGGACATCAATGCAATAATTTAAACCACAAACTTCACAAGGAAAACTGCTTGCTACACAAATATCAAAGAAGGCCATTCATTGATTTACATGTAACCTAAATTCAAGTTATTAAAAATTCTGTTTGTAAACCAGCAAAACAAACTTAGGACCGAATGAAGTGGCAAGTAAATACATACACAAAAAAGTACCAAGGAAAATAATTTTCTATACAGAAAAAGTGCACAAAAACAGGAATTTGCCCTATGATGTGAAACATGAGTTCATGTTCCTTAAATTTAAAATCATTAGAAGACAAGTTATTGAGGACCACACCTGAAGCATCTGCATTAATTTTGGATGTTGCTCTAGTAGTTGACGAAGCCTTTCCTGATCGCTCAATAGCCACTGAACAAAAAGCAAGGAAATTCAGCCACAAGAACAGAAGGAAGCAAATCATAGGAGTATGCAACTAAAATCATAGGAGTATCCAACCTATAATCAAACAACAAGGAGTATTTATTCCAGAAAAATAGTCCTTATATACCTGAATGATTTCAGGATTATTAAAATCCAAGGCACCCAAATTCATGCCTAACTCTTGTTGCTGCTGAGGAGCCTGATCTCCCTGGCTTTGCAAATTCTGTGCCTGAATATGCTCAACTTGAGTTGGCTGATGCTGCATGTGAGGTTCTGACTGGTGAGGTTGATAGAAAACATGAATCTGAGGTACTTGAAGAGGTTGGGGAATTTGTGTAGGCTGCACTTGCAACTGAATTGGGGTTTGTTGCATTGAGACCCCACGCTCTGATTGCTGTTGGGATACCTGCATAGGTGGCCTAGGGTGCTGTGGAGGAAGAGGAGGGCGAGGTAAATGTGGTGGTTGAGGAGGTAGTGGAGGTCGAGGTTGCACTGATTGTATAGAAGGTTGAACACTTGGAATCGAATGTGATTGACTTGGCTGATTCTGACCTTGTTGCATGGTTGCACTACCAAAGGGATTTGCAGGTAATGAACTGGGCCGGCCTGGAGGCAAGGGTGGAACAAAAGAAGGTAAAGGAGACTGCAAACTAGAAGTTTGGTTATTGGCAGCTGACGACATTGTTCCTAATATTGTTGTCGGGGGACTGGGTGATGGAGGAAGGGCACCTAAACTAGTCTGGCTGCTGTAAATTGATGACTGAGAAGTAGGAAAACTAACTGGTGCTTGTATACCAGGTGTTGAAAATGGTGGAGGAGTAGGAGGAAGAGGAGGTTGAGGTCGTCCAGTACCAGAGGAGGAAGCATTCACGTCATCATGTGATCTACCACTAGAAGTGCTATTCCAAAGAGGTTTATCCAAAACAGGGTGGGGAAGCATCATAGATGTCATATGATGGCCAGCTGCTGATTGAGGATCTGATTGAACTTGAGATGAAAACTGATAAGGGACAGAATCTGACAATGCACTAGAGCTAGGTGGAGGCAACAACAAACCAGCAGCAGTGTTGTGACTGAAAGCTCTATCCTCTCTAATTAGAACTGAAGTTGTACTAGCTCCACTAACTTCAAGGGCTTGAAATGGGTGGCGACTAGGAATTGGCGGATGGATGTCTCTTGCTGGATTGATATAAACAGGTGAAAGTTTCAAAGGAGGCTCAAGTACTTGGGGATTTATAACAGATGAGACAGTTGATGGTGGTGGCAAAGGTGGTAGAGGTGGCTGGTTTGGAGGAAGTTTCTGATCATAAAACCCAGAAGCATTTGCTATAGGAATATTACCAGTTTGATGTTGACTATCCCAATACTGAAAATTTGATGAAGCCAACCTCATATCTCCAAAAGATTGTTTGGAAGGTGACGAAGAGCTTTTATCATAAAATTGCTCAGTTTGAAATGAGTAATTATTTGTGTTGGTTGCATATCCCTGAGATGTGTTAAATGAAATAGCATTCCTTTTGTCATCAAATTGCTCACGAGAGAGAGATATTTCAGAAGCTAGCCCTTGATGTTTCTTCTCTGAAGGTGTGCCCACATCTCGAGCTCTTGAACTTTCAGCTCTAGAGAGAGACCGTCGAGAGGAATTTCCTGCGCTGTCATCTCCATCTATTCTATTTGAAGAATCCATGCTTGAGTGACGATAGAGTTTACTATCTTTCATATCTGAATCAGCCTCTACATCCAATGAACCTGGAGAATTGTTTTCACTAAGGATGACAGGGGCTTGTGGCAAATTATCATCTGACTGTGGGAATTGCAATACGTCATCAGTTTCAGTTTCCCCATCAAACACAATATCAATTTCGTGAAGATCATCATCAAGGTCTGATTTAAACTGTCGGGACTTGGAGCTCTTCACAGGGCCATTGTCACTCTGAAGAGGCATATTCTTGACCTGTGATAAATCAGTAACCGGCAGACCTGCAGGGTTTTGTCGCTCCTTTTGTCTGGCCATAAACTCATCCACATGTATTGAAGGAGGCCTTCCACCCATCGACCCTCCACGCTGAATAGAATTTGTAGCGTTTGAGCCACTACTGACTCCATCAATGTTTCTCTCTCTGGCAACATAGTCATCCACATGCATAGAAGGAGGTCTGCTCGTGTTCGGTTTCCGTTGTCTAAAAGTATCCCTTCGAGTAGGACCAGATGTTACATTGGGTGTGTTTCCTGTTCGATTAAGTGCACTTGTGCTTGGATTTTCAACCCCCAAGTTGTCTCCTCGTTGACGCCTATTTGAGCCCTCTACCGAAGAAACCTTCCTTCTCAAAGGAGCTGGCATTGAGAGTCTATCGGGTGAAGAATCAGGGCATTCCCAAACAAACTTATCACCAAGGCCCCCAAGGTCATAGTAGCTATCAGTTCTCTTGTCATTCCCAACCGACTGTTTGCTGCTCAAAATTGACAATCCAGCTTCATTCTCAATCATATTCATCAAAGACAATGAGGATCCTGATAGATGAGGAAGCAAGTCTTCAGAAGAAGCCAGAATTTCATTAAATGGGGATGAAGAACCTCTTTTTGAGGTGACATCTTCAGGTTGAATTGAACCCACAGGCTTCTCCAGCAGCAGGAGCATAGCTGCTATGGTTCCCTTTACCTGCACAAGACAAAAGTGCTAAGAGTAAGAACCAAGAAAATGACAGATCACTCAATTGGAAACAAAAATAAAACAATAGCTCCAAATTGCACCTGATCTAAAAATATTTTCAAGACTGAAGGCTTTAAACTGTTAAGTTCATTAGCTTTCTTGTCCAAAACGGATATCATCTCGTGCACAACAATAAGCTTCTCTTCATTATAGCCACTCGCAGCATCAAAACCATACCGCACTCCAAAAAGAAATTTTGTGCTGGAGATCCCCTGCAAACTGGATATCGAGCACCGATAAAAAATTAGAGGCAGTAGTATGACAAGAGATAACTTTTCAGCACTTCAAATGGATATGATTCTATATGCTCAACCTACACCAAGAATAGAACACACCTTTCACCGTAAGCACACAGGGACAAAGCACCCGAAGAAAGTATGTTAATAATGTCAAGGGTATCCATGGAGCACCGATTTTCTGCACTAATGAAATGCAATATATTTTTCCAGCAATTTAAAAGGGGTGGGGTCCTTCGCCAGTAATCTTCAGGGACAATACCACTCTGATCCATGTCATTCCCATTATCTGGATCTTGAGCATCAACAACTGAAGTTTCAATACGTGAAACTATAGAAGATAAAGCAACCCTTCCGTGATTTTGCGAAACCAGTGCTTTAAAGGCAGAAAGACATGCCCGCATTTCCCCTCCAACTGGCAAAACCTACATGGTGTATCCATCGTAGAATCAAAATAGAAATCAGTGAAAACCTCCTGATAGACATGCATCAAAAAGTGCACATAACATGTTTGGGAAGAAACAAAGTAAAACATCAAATAAACATTAATAGACTAAAATTCTTTCACGTGAAGGTTGTGAGACTACATGAAGAGCCCAGAAAGTTGACCCAAGAATATAATAGAAGGAACCATGATGAAAAAATACATTTTTCTTATTAGATAATGGTCACAGAAGGCCAAAGATATATAACTTATTTTTATTAAAAATAATCTACAAGTTGCCTCCACCTCATCCACAAATTTGAGTACCAATAGTAGTATGAGAATATTATGTTCAAAAAATACAGTCCGAGAATATCAGACCATGATCACAAAAATCCAATTCAATAGATGAACAAAATCCACATAAATAGAAATCTAAGAATTACAAGAATTTCTGATACGTGATCCCATGGAAGAAACTCAAAACCTTATATAATGGACTACTTGAAATGCCAACAGTAAAATTTGAAAAAAAAGTTACACTTAGAATGATCAACAGAGCAGCCTCAACTAGTCCAAAGACAAACTAAGTCATACTGAAATTACCGCCCTTTGACGAAAGTGGAATAGAACATCCAATGCTTAAACAGTAACGACACTAAGGCCACAGATTGCACCAAAAATGACACTAAGCATCAATTTACGTACTTTTTTGAAAATTTCTGCTTCCAAGATGAGATTAGACTGATTGGTGACTAGGTGATCAAAATATAGCACAAAGTTATTAGGTAATCCAACTAAATGTAGATCAACGACTAAGCTGATAATACGAACCACACAATGTAGCATAGTCATTAACAAATAGAAATGCAGTTATCTGAAGGAATCATCAATAGCACAGTTGTAACATTCATGATACCAAACATAAAAAACAACACTTATTATAAGATATGCTTTAATCAATAGTAAAATTTTCCTCACATAATAGCCAGTTTGAATAATAGTTCATCCCACCATCGGCATAACTCGCTCCTCTCAGAGAAGTTCAAAATTGCAATGAAAAGATATTCACTTGTGATGGAAGTCAATTGTTTCACCCAAGGGACATGGAACTTCAAAGTTCCACCCAAAGGCTCCTCAAGCCAATCATGTCTCCAAATGAATGAAGATATAAAAATTTCAGGAAAAAAAGTTCAGGTGTATTAAACTAGTCAACAGCCTGTGCAATGCACAGCCATAACCAATCAAAGTAAATTATATTTTAAATTTTGTATTCTAAATTAAATAAACTATTTTTAAGCAATAAAAATTCAAGTGACATTTCTCTATTTTTACTGGAAAATAAAAAACTAAAGGAATCCTTAAAATTTTAGATAAATTCATCAAATAGACTTTCTACATTAGAACTATATTTTATTAAGAATAATTTATTTTTATGAATCCTTTTTGAACCCCGTCATTTAAAAATTTTAAAATAAGAAAGTGTAGTTCTTATTCTATTTAAAATTTTAAATAAGTACCCAAAATATAAAAACTTATCTTAATCCCATACATGCAAGGAAACTTGATTATAAGGAGAGATTTCTATTTCCTACTTTATAAGGAGAGAAAGATATGCAAGGAAACCTTATTTATTAAGACAATTTGCAAGGAGAGAATCCTACTTGGCAAAGAGAGAGGAAAGATCCAATGGCAATTGTGAGATAAAACAAGATGAACGATATGAATTGCATGATGAAGAGACACGTATACATTCTAAAAAATTCAGTATATGTAGTATAGATTCTTAAATAGATACAAAACAGCACATATGCATAAACTAATATATATGTATCATGGCTATGTTCCTATTGTGCATTTAAAGCTCCAATCAAATTCCCTATAAAAGAAGCTGAGATAATCTAGAACATTAACATGCCTACCGGACAGAAGTTAAGAAGCTGAAGAGCAATTGAGCAAAGATCTTCAGTACTCAGGCAGCCAACAAAGCACCTGAATTAGGAAATGGAGAACTGTTAAATAACACCAATGAAACAAATTAACTTTGATAAGACATTTTTCAAGCATTCTGCATAAGTAGACATAAACATATATATAGTCATAGACAAAATGAACATAAAGGCTAAAGACAGTCAATGTCACATCTTGCCCATAATAAATAGTTTTTATTTTTGTTGATATAACATATACAATGTCTGACAAGTCATTTTAACAAGTCATATTAGATCCTTTGCAGTATACTACTACTAAGTTTCAAAAGGTTCATCGATTGTGGTGCAATTAAAGCTTTTTTCAAAAAATTCAGAAATTGTAAAAGTCCTGGGACAACAGGCCCCAACAGGCTGACAGAGCCAGCACCAGGCCAGTCTAAGGAGCCATAACCTTGCCTAGATTAATATCCAACTTCCATCCATATGAAAGTCTGATCAATCCACGAACATGTGGATACGCATATGTACATAACACTATATGCATAGATGCATGCAATACATGTATATACTACAAATAAGCATCTTGAAGCATGTCTAAGTATGTTAATATGTCATTGTAAGAATAACTGTGCATGTGTTATAAACAGTTTAATGGATCCCACCAACAAAAACCAGTGAAGTGCATGAGTATTAACTCACTTCTCAAGAGTTCCAGATGGGTGCAGGGGCATTTCAGAGTCACATATCAATGCAAATGATATGAAAATTGGCAAGCACCAACAAACAAGGTCACATTTAACTGGAAATTTTGATTCGGCAGAAAGTACGCCATCCGTTAAGTGCGGAACATAACATCTCCCAAGCATCTTTACTAAAAGTTCAACAATCCCCTCCTTCAGTAACAAGGTCTGAGAAAAATGGATAAACACGAGGTGAGCAATATTAAGAACTTGTGGAATAAGTTCCACAAGCGGCAAGAAAGTGAATAGTAATAATAATAAAACAACCTTTGCAGATGGATGCTCCAGCAAACTAGCAAGAAAATCAAGCAGCCTTTGCACCTATAAGAACAAATGTCAGCAGAAACATCGGATTTTTTTTGGATGGAATTACAAACATCTGATTTCAATTCAGAAAAAGTTCTAAACTTTAAAATATAATCATCACCTTGAACACATCAGTTTCCGATGGAGTAGATGCTTCAATAGCATGATCACGTAACCAAGAAATTATTGGACGAAGCAAGACAAGTGCACATTCAGACTTCTGGCGTGCAATGCGAATTGTGAATACCCGAAGCATATCTTGTATAACATCCAAAGCCTAATTGAGGTAAATTAGATCAAAGTCTAATATTAGTCATGAAAAATGAAAAAGACTATCGCTACAAAGACCTCATTTGACATCCCATTATTCCACCAAACATGTATACGAAGATACATAATGCAGTAGTAAATGTATGAAAGTTACTTACCGTAAATGCAAATTGCAGAACAATTTGAGAGATCTTTTCAAAAAATGGAGCCAACTGGCTCAGCAGTTTCTCAAAATGAGGAGGGCGTAGATACCAATCGACATCCCATTCACCATGAGGCCCCAGGGATGCCCCTACTCCTAAAGTTCTCAGAGCATTCAAAGAGGAGGTGCCGCTCTTCCAAAGCCATATCCCTTCATCTGGAAACAGATCTCCCTAATGATACAAAAATCAAATGTTGTTACCACTAACACAATTTCAAATCATGTGATAGGACATGAACAAGAAAAGGAGGATAGAAACTAGTGTTGATTGTTAGAAATTTCAGAAGCCCAACCTATCCAAAAAGTAATTCAATTGTATAGAACTATGTTATCAGATTCGCTTCAAAGGGCTCTTCATTTGGGCAGAGAAGGGAAGCTTTTTGGTTCTTCAGCATATTCAGTGGAAATCTTCAGGTATATTTAAAAAATTACAAAAAAATAAAAAATAAAAAATAAAACAATTTAAAAAAATTAATATGAAAGGTATATTTTATAAATTTTTGATAATACAGCAGCATTTTTCCAAAATTATATATCTTTTCGGGGTACTTTTACTATATCAATATGTTCAATTTTATCAATATGTTCAATTTATAGGATGAGTAATTTGTTTCACTTTGGTTAAGAGCCTGAAGCTGAAGATTTCAATCATTTCAGCTGAAGCAAAGCAAATATGATAACTTTGGTACAGGCACAACAGGCCAAAATGTCAAGCACTACTTATTCCTTGACAATGAACATGAAAACGAAACAACCTTGTATAAAGACCAAAACAGCAAAAAATAATAATAAAGAAATATATTAGCAAAACATTAGTTTAAAAAAGAGAGTAACAGAATACTGACCATCAGTTTTGGAATGCATGTGAAATAATGACATGATAAAAGTTCTACTAGTAACTTAAAAGGGAAAAATGAAAAGCAGAAGTAGCAAAATGCTTACCAGAAGACAGAGAAGACTACAGGCCTCCTTAGGGCCCAATGCTAGTGACGCAGTAGCAGGATTGCTTTCTAGAAGGCAATGAAAGAGTCCAGGTGTCCATCCAAATACAGGCCAACAAGCAAGAGCAGATACAAGAAGATGGCAAACAGCTCCCAAACCAAGAGCAGAACCAGGATAAGAGAATGACAAATCTGCAGCACATGATGCTAATTTTGGACTGCAATAAAAATCCAACAACAATTTAATCCAAATGAACATATCAATACAACACCCAGAATTAATATAATACTATACTTTTCATCAGTGATCATACACAGTAGCACTTCTTTACCTTATTTCTCTGTGTAAAAATAGAAGAGCATTGACTAGCTTTGTATTCCGATGTTGCTCCCCAGTTTCCTGCAGACAATATATTAATCACATTAGAAATATAAAACTAGCAGCTCCAAACTTCTAGTATATAGCATATATAATGCGGCTTCCGAAATTCACACATATAGTTGAATGATATTCAATAAAAGGAAAAAAAAAAGGAATAAGAAAACACACCTCCAACCATAATCAGGAGCTAAAACAACATATGATCAAACCCACTGACAAATGTCTCAATAGAAACTATCCAAATAAAGCATGAGAAACACAAAAGATCAAAATTCACCAAAAAAAATCCCCACCTTGGACACGTAATCACTTGACAGTTTTCCTCTCCAGTTTAGAACTCTCCCATAAAAATAGGACTGGAGAGCTTCTATTTTAAATGGTTTGATAGAATTGTAGTCGAGATTGGGAAGGAAAATGTTATGCAGGTCATCACTGAAAATGCCAAAAGATAAGTTAAAAGCAAGGAGGTTGTTAACACAAAAAGAAGAATTTAGTTTGGAGCCCTTGCTCACTGTATTGATTTTAATGTTAGAAGCCATCAGTGAATTGAGGGAGGTGAAGAGTTGTGCTTAGCGAGGGAGGATTACAAAATTCATATACAATCAATCATACATTCATCATTAGCAGGAAGAGGCAACATTGTGATACAGAGTTCATTACTCATTAGGCCTGTCATCACTAGGTTTGCCACCTCATACTTAACACTAAGAGTTAATACTAGGGCAGCAATCACGATTGAAGAAAATGGTGGCATCAAAGGAGTGGAGTTCTACACTCCTTCATCCTTAGCTTGATGAGGCAATCACTTAAAAAATTTGTATAGAATCATTTAGAAAATCTGTATACAATCACTCCTTCATCCTTAGCTTGATCAGGCAAACATTGTGATAGAAACCTCCTAAGGCCTGCCATCACCAGGTTCGCCATCTCATACTTAACACTAGAGTTAATCCTAGGCATCAATCAAGATTGAAGAAGATGGTGGCATCAGAGGAATGATATTCTACAACCATCGCAAAGACTCTGGCTGAAAGAGAAGTTGAGGAAACTATTAATACCAACAGATCTTGGGATGGATACAAACAGGTTGTTAGTGCCACCACACTACTTGTATAAGCCCCAAGGATGGTTGATTCAGATATTAAGTCTGCCATGGGATGCACACGGTTCAAAGCAAGCCACATAAGCCAATTGAGAATTCTACAATAAAGTGTGGGAGATCATTAATAACAAGTGGGGTTGCACAGAACACCACCCTATCCATACAAAAGGTAACTTTCAATTTCAAGTTTCAATGTATATCCATAACTTAATTTGTGATTTATGTTGGCCTTGAAAGACGTAAGCTTTTGTTTGAAACTTTAAAATGTAAAACATTTTTGTTCTTTAGTTTGTTATAGTTTGTAAATTGAGAATGCACACTATATGGATGTTCAAGGCAATTTCGGGACTAATATGGCTAGAAGAAATCAAGTACAATTGGATTTACGTTAACTTTCATATTTTCGAGAGTATTATGCGTGACTATAATCAAATATGAATAATTTATCTTACGTCTTTCCAGTGAAATTGTGGAAATTACATCATTATCATAATCTTCCGAGCCTTATCCTAACTATTTGAGGTCAGCTACATGAATTCTATTTTACCATTCTGCTCTATCAAGGGTCATACCTTCAGTCAGACCATAAGTCACCATATCCCTTCTCACTACTTCCATCCATGTTATTTTGGGCCTTCCCTTGTCCTTTTAGAGCCTTTTACTTGAAAAAATCACCCCTACTAACCGGTGTTATATTAGGTCTATGTTGCACATGGCCACACATCCCAAGTCTACTTTCCCTCATCTTATCGTCTATTAGTGCCACCCCTAAGTTCCCTCAGATGTATTAATTCGAAAATCGATCATTTCTTGTCTTACCACTCATCCATCTCAACATCTTCATCTCCTCTACACTCATCCTATAGATATGTTATTTCTTGACTGCCCAACATTCCTGCTCAAAGCATGGCTGGTCTTACAGCCATCCTATAGAACTTCCCTTTCAATTTCATTGGTATGCAGCAATCACATAAAACTCCATATGCATATCTCCACTTTGCCCACCCAGCTCTAATTTTATACGCATCTTCTTCAATCTCTCCATTCTCTTAGATTATCGACCCAAGATATCGAAAATAATCTCTTTTGGGTATTTCAAGGCTATCAATCTTAACTACTTCCTCGTTTTTTCTCTTATTATTACTAAATTTGCACTCAATATATTCCATCTTAGTCCAGCTAATTTTAAAACCTTTAGATTCTAGAGCATCCCTCCGAAATTCTAACTTTGCATTGACACTACCTCTAGTCTCTCAAACAAAACTATGTCATCAGTAAACAACATATATTATGGTACCTCATCCTAAAGATGCCTAGTTAACTCGTCCATAACCAAAACAAAGAGATTCAACATTGGACCCGTATCTCTTTGTTTTGGTCTACTGTCACTAAAAACTCTTGTCACACTACCAGTTATCCTCAAAGTAGTTAGTTCTGCGACGTACATATCTCTCACCATGTCAATGTATCCTTTAGAGTTTCCTTTCTGTTACAACATCCGCCAAATTAACTTTCTAAGTACGTATCGTATGGTTTTCTAAATTAATTAAGACCGTGCAGGTCTCTTCCCTTCTCCCGTAGCTTCTCGATTAGTTGCTTAAGTAGGGAAATAGTCTCAATTGTTGACCTCCCTAGCATAAAGCTGAATTGATTTTTTGATACACTCGTTTCATGCCTTAGTCGTTGCTCAATCACTCTCTCGCCACATCTTCATGTGGCTCATAGTTTTGACTCCTCGCTAGTTTGTATAGTTCTATATGTTTTTTTTGTTCATGTAAATAGGTACCACAGTATTTTTTCTGCATTCGTCAAGAATTTTCTTTATTCTCAACATCTTGTGGAACAACCTTGGTCAACCAGAATATGCCAATCTCTCCCATGCAATTCCAAATTTTGATCATTCTCAAAGCTTCTTTCACTTCAAAAATCCTAATTCTATGAATCAATCTATAACCTCCGACCTTATTTATGTTGAAGGTTCCTCTCATAGTTCAAAAAGCTGGCCGCCTGGCCACCTAGGCATGCCCTTGACGGCCAGCCTAGGTAATCTTGCTCCTAGGCACCCATGGTACCTCCTAAGTGGTCACTTCAAGCTAGCAACCTAGGTGGTGCCTCAATGCAAAGGCCAAAAAAGGCCCTCAGTTACAGACAACAAAGCACACCTCCCCATCTAAAGACGGTGGGGGACGAAGAAGGGGAGGAGGGGGGGGGGGGGGTGGTTTCATTCTAGCCCCCCAAACCCCTTTGTGCCTAGAGTCACCCAAAAAAAGAGAAAAAAAGAAAAAAAAAACCGTAGGCCCCATTAAAACATAAAAAAAATAGTTAATTTCTTAAGGCCCTTCTCTGTCGCTCACAGGCCCATATGCTCTCTCTCTCTCTC